CCTCTCAACAACCCGAGAATGTCAACATGGAGCAGGTTGATTATGATCGAGATTCCGATGACGATGATTCAGATGAAGAAGGGCATCCTCTCGCAGGAAGGCCTTTGTCAAAGGCGATGCCACATCTGAAACTTGTTCCAAAAGTCACCGCCACCGACATTGAGGCTTGTCTCCAAGGTCAAGCCAGCACCAAAGAACATCCTGGATGAAGAGACGGAATCCGACAATCATCCCGGTGATCGACCTGCACTTCCAAGGCGACCGGTGATGCGGCCTGTCCTCACATCCAATGATCGGTGGTTTGTAACATATGGATCGGATACGAACATCAGCCTCCAGAAGGAATCCGTGCACCCAGGACCTTTCGGAAACTCAAAATTCCTGAGTCTTGTGCACGAGTACTACAAGGAATGCTCAACCATCCTCGATGTCAATCCGGACTTCCACTTCGTTCCTGAGCATGAGAGACCACATGGAGTTAAGGTATTCTGGTTGAAGGCAAGATTCAACGACTACTGGCAACCAACACTCCAAGGTGAAGGAAATCATGCAGAGAAGCAATACATGGACTTCATCAAGAAGGTCTACAGCATCTGCTGCTACACCAATGCTCAATCCGAAGTTTACGGAACCGACATCATCCCGATGGTATGCCACAACGGCAATATTGATCTCGAGAAGACCGTCCAGAATGTCGAACAGGTTTGCAAATACTTCCGCATGGAACCATCCAAGGCGAAACAGATCACAGATCTCATCCTCTGGCGAATTGAGAGAATGAGCAGATCGTTTTCCGGATGTCTTCGACATGATCCAAGACATGGAATCCATAAGGAATGCAAACGACAAGTGGAAATGGGTCCTGATGGATCCGTCGAGCTCTATGACGCATTGACCTGCATCACACATGCCAGGAACTTCATTGGAAATAAGCCAGGACTTCTCTTGATGGCTATGTTCCCGAGCTATGGAAAATCACGTTTCGAAATTGCGTTCGTATTTCCATCCGTGGACGGGACATATAAGGAGCGCAAGGCACGGGGAGAAATTGTTCCAAGGAATCGATGGATCGATAAGCTCAACACCAGATCCGCACAAAATGCACTCAGGCCCGATGGCAAGGAATTCTATTGCAACAGCGCACACACACGACAAGTCGATATCCAATCCGATGTCCATCCTTTGGACGACCCCTGTACTCTGAGCAGAAAGAGCCTCATCACGACGAACCGGACTATGATCTCCCAACGGAATCCATTCCGCCAAGTCCGCATCCGTCAAGATCCGAGGCGCCTCATGGAGCTGAAGGCACAGCTCAGCCCAAGTACAGAATGCGAAGGCCGGCACCACCATCCATGGAAGAAGAGAGAAAGATCAAGCCGTTCTCGAAGAAGCCCATCACATTCATGTTCCATGCAACCTATGGAAATCAGCTCTACAGCATCATGGAGCACGGGCTCAAATCTGGGAAATCCCAGTCAAACCCTTCAGGGAGAATGCACGTCCACATGGCATGCATCGATGACGTCCTCGAAGACGATGAGTCAGAAGCCGCATTGACCCATGTGCCAGCAGGAAGAGATGCACTGTTGACCCTTGCATTTCTCAAGGACCAAGACTATGGCATCCGCCTCTCCGAAGAGAGAGCAGCGTTGACAGACAAAACCATCGAGGCAAGAAACATTGTTGCTGAACCTGATGGCAGCCTCATGGCGAGCAACAAGTGGATCATGAAGAAGCATCTTGATCATGAAGATTACGAGATGTACGACACCAAGATCCGCGAATTCGCCGATGCCTTCTTCAATTATGTGAATTCCACCAAGCACAACGAGGAAAAAGATACTTCCTCAGAGACCAAGAAGAGACGGCATTCCACCGATCAGGACTCCACTGAAGGAGAAATGATGGAACCCTCCGGGGAAAGATCCGTCAAGCCGAAGGTCATCGTGGAATATCACAATTCAGAGAACCTAGATGAGTTCATCCAAGAACTCAAGGAAATCTATCTCGAAACAGATATGAACAAAAAGGACGCAGAGGAAGAGCTCGCGGGGACCAGGGAGAACCTCATCTGCTTCATGAACCAGTTCAACAAAGATCCAAGAAGAGCTCATCCCAACTTGACAGAGTGCGAGAGAGCCTCATTGGCACATGTCGATCCTGATGTCAATCTCGGTGAAGAAGAATTCTACTTCCCTCATCGAGGAGAATGTCCCACCGTTGACGAGTACAAGCAAGCTCAACCAGGATCCGGATATCCGATCAAGCTTCCGCTTGGATTGAAGAAGCTCAGGTCACATGATGACACGAAAGTCATCCGAGCCTATGCCGATATCCTGGGATCGCTGATGCAGCCGACTGACCGTCCTCCCGTGGACTATCTCAACATGCATGAGTTCACCTCATCCAGAGCGATCAACATGCTTACCCTGAACCATGGAAACCTCACAAGGAATCCAAAGCTGGACAACAGGGAGGTGCACAACATGCCGATGAAGGATCGACCGATCGTCAAGATGATGATGCAGAACAGCGCACACATCTTATGCCTGAATGAAGCAGACGCATTCTTCAGTCCGAATGATGAGAAATCCAGGGAGCTCATCAAGACGTTCATCCGATACGGTTACAAGGGCATCGTGATCAAGCAATGGTCATCCAGACCGATCGCATGCTTTGTCCGCGGCGGACCCTCTGCACGAGTGGAACTTCTGGCAAGACACATTTCCACCAGGAGCCAGAATTGGGGAACCACATTCGGAATGTTCAGATGTTTCTTCGGAACTAAAGGAGATTGCACTGATCCCGAATACGAAATTCCGACCTCGGATTGCTTGGCAACCACAGGAACATCCATGTTTACTGAACCCAAGAAGTACATTGGATCGAGATTGCCAGCACGCACCATTGTGCAAGGACATGGCCGAGACAAGGAGATCGTCGTTGTCCACACATCGAGCAGAGTGATGAGTTTCGTGAAGTCATTCCACGAGTATGACGACCGCCACATAACGAGGGCAGATCTACCATTCGCAACCATTGGAGTCTTCCACATCCATCCTTCACTTAGCCATGGAGCAGCAAAGGAAGATCTTCAGAATGAAATCATGCCGCTCGTGACCTTGTACCGATGCGATGCGATCACCGGAGACGCCAACAAATCAGCGAACACATACAGCAAACTCCAGCACGTCTACAATCCGACCAACGGTCTCGTGAACATCCTCATGAGGACATATCAGAGACTGTGGAATGAAACGAAGAATTTGCCACTCGTGGACAGAATTGAGTATGCAATGGAGACTTCGTGCACCCTGAAATCCATTGTCCGTCATCACCTGTACATGAAATGCGGATCAGGATTTGATCGAACATTCCCAGATGTGATGATGACTATCGTATTTGGATGGGGCAAAACGAACATCCAGCAGGATTTCCGGAAGGACGAGATGAACGGTATGGATGATGAACAACTGGAATTCATGCGGAACCATCCAACCAAGGCCATATTCGATTACCAGGTCTCATCCGCAGAGCGCTACAAGCACGTGAGCAATGAAATGTTCATGAATGGCTCGCAGGACTCCGACTCCCACAGTCCTCTCATGGTTTACATCCGCAGCAAATCTGCAACCAGTAAACGCAGCTCTGAGAGATACCAGGATTACATCAAGAAGAAGCAATCATCCCGGACCCCGCAGGAGTACAAGGACTACAACAAGCAGTGGGGACATCAGAAGCAGTGGAAGGACTATAGCACTTCGACCTGGAATGATTATGGGGACTATGGCAGGCAATCCGACAGCAGCCGCCGATGGTATCGTCGATCCGACTGACCATGAAGATACGTTCAGCACCACGAACAATCCAGATGATTCATCCTCGTCGTCTACAAGACTATACCATGAGTGAGAGATCAATAGTTTCACAATCGTTCCGCGTGTACATAGCGTTGTACATCACCCTTTGATACATTTAAAATCCAACAAGAAGCAGTACATAGTGTTTCCCATTTCGAAGGCCAAGACATTTCATCCAAGCAGAAAAAGGATGAATCCGGCACTTTTAATCACATGGCTACGGCACACATCAAGGCTACGGTCAAAGGCGATGAAGCCAATAGTATTTCATACTTTGTGCTGGAGATCAAAAGAAATTTGAGTCTGTTTTGTTCTGTTTTTCAGACCATTGATCTCCCGCAACATTTGGCTCAAGGGCCCCTTTTGCAGAATCACGACCATCCGAGCGTGAAGACAAAAGAGCCATTGCAGGCCGCTTACAGGATTATCCACAAGACAATCCACCAGGGACAATCCATCCTCCAATCATCCATTACTGGCATATTGGACTTTTTTTGCGGAATAGATCCAGGGACCAACAACGACCTCAACTACCACAGGGTTCCAGTTCCCTTCGGGGATAGGCACCTGGGGCAGTGGGCCTCACCCCCCCCCCCCCTCAAACCCCCCCCAAACACAGCCCCTTCAGAAAGACTAAGCTAGACCATTTTTGGAGGTGCATGTGGGGCAGGCTGGTCTGGGTCCCAAGAAAAGTTATATGAGGACATGTGTGGAGGGCCCCAAACTTTTTGAAGCATCCACCAGGTCAACCGGGTCACTTTGCAGACTTGCAGACCCTGAAAGAATCAACGGACACTTTGATTAAACAAAACACTTGAACAGGGGAAGTTCCTTTTGATTACTTGGATTACAATCCCCCCCTGCTTTTGGAAGAAAAGCCCAACCCAATTGTTGAGGACGTGCAGAGTGAAAGAACTCTCGCATGATGCGTGCTGTATGATTCGTCCCCTGCTGTGTTTGGAAGGGTGGGCTTTCACAAACACGACATGGCAGTGCCAGAAGGCGCGAAAGCTTCAAGCTTAAGCTCCGACCAATGCACACTCAACCGTTGAACCAGGCAACCTGCCCAAACATATGCCCTTCAAGCAATGCTCACAAACCAAAAAACTGATCCTGAAGCTGCTTCAGCCACGGCACGGTATGCTTTCTTGATTGTCAGCTCATCCGAATCCTGCGCCAACAAAAAGCATCGATTTGGCTCGTGATCCATTGATCCGCTTTAAGGAAGCCTTGCCCAGGAATCGGAACACAACAGTTGTGACGAGAGTATGAAGTCTCCATCCTGAGGGCTGCTTCTGCACAACCGCCGGGTGTTGCGCGAACGCTTCGATTGCCAAGGCTGGAGACTGTTGCTTGGACCGATGCTCAACTGTTTGTTCTTTGTGGAGGTATGTGAAGGATCCGACGCACCCAACAAATACCTCTTGCCTGCCTGCCAGGCTCCCAAGGCGTGTGCTACGGAAAGCTTTCTTGGGCGCAATGCCACCAAACGCGCTGCCAAACTCACAATATCCTATAGAATGCATAATGTTGGCGATGACTTCGCGGTGGGCTCTTGTCATTTACATCTAAGCAAACCAAGACACTGTCAAACGGGTCTGCTCTTGCCAGAAGCGAGCGGCCCTACGCCTGCAGCGCTCAACAGCTCAGAAGAACAATGCTCAGTGTACATGACCAATCATGACCGGCAAATGCTCTAAACCATGCATGCATTGAACTATGCGGACATGGGTTGTTTCAAGGGAATTGAAAAGGAACCCAACCAAACTTTAGGCGATCCATTTCCCATGAAAGCATTCATATTGAACTCAAAGTGCTAACTTTTGGATTGGAAGATACATACGTTCACAAAAACAACCAAAGAGTAGTGTGGGCTGCTCCAAATCTCCACTGGCACATAGCAGATTCTAGCTTTGGGTTTCCATCACTGGGCTCGGACCAACCCGATACGTGCGACTCACAGCCAGCGACCTCATGGATCTCCAGCGCTGCATAGTAGTCGGGCAACGGCTTTCGCATCGCACCTGAAAACCCCCGCGGGGTTAACTCCGCTTCATAGATTCCAAGCCTCGCGTGCGTGCTGAAGGGACTTAGGGGAAGTGTCCCTTCCCCTAAGTCTTTGCGGAAAAGGACCCCCCCCCCAATCGCCCGCAACGTTGCAGGGATCCTGTTTGGGCTGCGATGTCGCACGACTTCCATGAAGAAATGCTTGAGCAAAGACCCTTCCAGCCCGAGCCCGAATTTGTGCCACTGGAAATGGCAGCAAGCCGATGCGACCAGCGAGCCTGCGTCAGCACATGGCCAGTACAAGGCTCGAATGAAACAAGGGTGGCGGTTGCAACTCGTGAGCTTGCTGAAAAGGAGCCCTTGGGGTCCGACTCACAGGACAAAAACCAGCAAAAAGGGGACAGAGGGTTCTGCTGGCTGGGCTAGCTGAAAACTGTGCAGCTCAACTCCTATGAGATCCTGGACTTGCCACGAAGGGCCTGCTACCTAGCACAAAAACAACCTACGAGCTCATCTCTTGCAACTTCTGGGCAAAGGTGTATCTCAAGCAATGCAGCACAGCCGGCTTGCGGGGGTTCCCCTGCGGCTTGCTGAGGCTTGAGCCAAGGTCTCGCGGATCTAGGAGGCGTCATTGACAGCCCCGCCGGGAAAATGCAGTTTTCAGGATTCTCTTTGCTCTTGCAATGGGTCACCATCAGGGGAACACCTGCAAACTGAGGGTTCTTCGGTGTGAGGGAATGCACGTCCACCAAAACAATATGAACAGCTGGTCGAGCGGCTTTCACGGTCGGGGAATACCACAAGCAACATGATGCAAGAACAGCTGGTCAAGCACGTTTCACCGTCAGGGGCACATCGCCACTAAATTGAATGGTTGCACAGCTAGGGAATACAACCCTGAGAGGATAAGAACAAACGGTCGCGTGCTCTTCACCATCAAGGAAATGCCACCACATCAGTAGCGCAACAACTGGGGATGCGCTTGACGATCTGTGCAGCACTTTGTCTTCACAAGTCATTTGCAATGAACATCAACAAACTTAGGCCCAGTTCTGAGCCGATGGTGCAAGAATGTGCCATTTGCAGGTCACAACCATCTACACGGCCATGGTCCAGACCAGCATGCCAAAAGCCAACGCTGAGTTCAAATGTGGAAAAAGCCAGGGATGCTACATACATATTTTCGTGGATCTCAAAACCCGTCGGGTCGCTGACAACGCCGCAATCTATTTCACAACGGTTATTACCTTCCAGGCCGCGGTCGATTTCAAGTGCGGTTGAGATTGCGCAGGATCAGTTGCATTGCTTAGCAACGCTGTTTCCGCAAGCCCCAGGTCTTACACTTGTACCAACTTGAGGCTGGGCCGACTTGCCCTTCGCAACTTGGTGCTTGGCTCACACCGGCGCCAAACACCAACAATTGCCATTTGCCGCAATGCTTTAACAAAAGATGGAGCGATTGTCACACTAAACGCGTGACACAATTAGTCATGATAAAGGAACAATCACATGAATGCAGAGATTGACACATTGTCCAGGATTCTTGTCCCATGACATGTTGACGAAGGGACGTCGGCCGTTCATTATGGATCCAAAGAACGCCCGATTGCAAGCAATCGATTCGCGAAGCTAAGAGCTAGTCTCCGAATTCCGCACCGCGCCTGTTCCATGGGCTTCAAGCGCAGTGGCTGCGACATCAAGGTGGGGAGTTGTCCTTTGGCATTCCTTGCACCAAAGAATCAGAAGAGGCTTTCTATTCTTTGCCGTTGGGGGGGGGCCCTACAAGTGGGGTTCCCTTTGGCTTCCTCCAGCACCAAAATCCAAAGCGTCTCTACTGAGAACAGCGGGAACATGCCGCTCGGGAAAAAGCATAGAGGTCTCAGCTTTGAACCTGCCGAGTCGTTGCCGGCTTCCAAGCCAAAAGCGGGCGCGAAGGCGCGTCTCTGGGATCGTGTCTCTGAAACCTAGTGATGTGGAGTACTTTGCAAACATGTGGGATTTCCTGGTTGCAGAATCATGTTTTCAGAATACGTCGGATCACACAATCTTTTGATACAGTGTTAAATTTGGAGAAGCATCACAAATATCATCTCTGGTTGGGCCACGCTGGGGTAGGTATCCCCCGATGGTTGTTCACCCTTTAGGAAGTCCAATTGCTGCAGCAACTGGAAGGTGGTTCGGACCTCGGACAAAGGACAACAAATTATTCTAATTGTCTTCGGTGCGGGCAAAATCGAAGCCGGACTATTAAACTCATAGGGGTCCCTTTTTGGCGGAAGGTCAATCATATTCGGAGGGGAACCTCCTCTGCAGGCGCATTCACTCAGTCAACATTAACCAAGAAAAACTGGTGGCTGGATGACTGCATCCATCAAGTAAAACCAATTCGGGCTGACGCCCATGATTGAAAGGACGCAAACCATCCCTAGCCTAGGCTGTGCGACGCAACTGTCGCCCTCCCATATTTAGTGCCAAGCTTTCTGGATTTTGGCAAAACAAATCTACGCCCGTATCTCCGAGAAGGGACCATTGCTTTGTAAATCACTCAGTTCCAGCACGACAAAGCAACCCGACGATCAAATTGGCTGTGGGTCCTTGTCTTCGCCTTCTTCCGGAGGAACCTGCGACAACGCGGCAAAGATTGGAAGACTTGCTCTCGTCATTGTAATGACAATGGTCCAATTTGGGGCCGGCCTATGGGGCATTGGCCCACTGGCCCACTTGGAACTTGGAACTTGAACTGACCAGCGCTACTTGACAAACTTGAGTGATTTGGCTGAAGCCAAAATGGCTCTATTGCTCGATTTCATTTGCTCCCTTTCCAAAAGGAATGCAGTCTTCCATCTTTTCTTTGTTGGTGACTGGCACTTGCAGATGCGAGAGCGAACGAGGAAATCTCTCGGACAGGAACTGGATCCGCTGTCCACTGAGCCCGTCTCTGCCCACATTGTCAACGTGGCATGCCTACTTGAATGCATGTGCTGTGCTCATTGGGGTATGGATTTGCATTGGGGCCCTGCAGTGGGCATCATTTTCATTTTCATGGGCATGTGTTTTGTTTTGAGATAAACATGTAGAGGGTCGTGCGTTGGACAAACCCGGTGGGAAGAACTTCGTCCAACAAATCGCTGGAATCCATGCCAAGCTCAACTAATTACTTTGGGAAGTTCTGCAAAGACTTCGCACAAAGAGTTCGACTCTTTTGGCAAATTCTATCAAACCAGTGGCAAACTTCGCAGAACCCCTTTGTAGAACGGTTTCTCAGAACCCCGTTGTCCAAAACAATGTTTGCGTTCTTGAGGGTCTTTCACATACAGGACGCTCCCAGAATCTGTTATGATACCGCTGATACGGTCACAACGTTGCCAAGTGACAAAGTGGATCATGCTAGTCACCAAGGACGGGACTTCATTACTTGTGCGGGCATTTTTCTTTTGCTTGCCGGCCTTCGCCGCACAGAAAGACAACACAAAACTTTGAGGCAGTACTTGGCCCTGGCTCCAAGAACTTGCCGCCCTCGCCTCATCGGGTGGAAGGAAGCAATCCGCCGGCTCTTCATCACCTGAGAAACAAAGCGGAAGGTCGCGACAGGGCGGATCCCCTACATTTTGCAGGTAAATAAAAGCAATTTGAACCACTTGCAACCGTGCTGCTCACATCGTGCTTTGACGCTCATGAATTTTAATTGAAGCCTAAGTTGCTTCGCATCAAGAAACATTTGAGCAGCTTGCCTGAAGGATTCAGCATACTTTCAGCATTCTCAACACGAGTCAGCGGATCGAAGCTAGCGCTAGGGAGCTATATGGCGTAATGACTGCGCACAAAGACCTTCAGACTCATGAGGGTCTTCTCAGCAGGCTGCTGGAGAAACCCCTTCATGTTTGAGGCGTTGATGCTCCGACCCATTGCTCCGACCCATTGGTCTTTCACATGAAGGATGCATTCAACAGAACGCAGGCCCGCGGAAATCGTTTTCCACCCTCACACTGCCCAAAGAAGCCCATGGTATACCCAAAAAATTGAAGAATGCGTCCTCTATCTATTTTTCCAGGAGCATAGCGTGATTTGAGTACTCGGCTACTGGCCTTTCTGACATGAGAAATAGGGGAAGCTGGTTGTTCTTTGGTTTTTCCTGAAAACAAATCCAAAAAAGGGGTACCCCGACGCGAAAAACATGGTCAGCTGAGAGGGTCGAACATTCGGCAGGTCTGTTCAAACGCCTAAGCTCCCTGCGGGCTTCCTGCTCCAGCCAGGCCTTGTGGACGCCCTTCATCCACATGCCTTGCCGCACCTGGCTAATAGCCAGGGTCACCATGACCCCCCCCGCGATGTCCATTCTCCCCGAAGCCACGCCAGGGGAAATTGGGGGCAAGATTGCCCTGATTTCGACATAAGCACAAATTAACACGTTGATTAGTTGATTGATGTACAACATAAACCCTTCTAGGGTTTGACATTCCTATGTGGAGGTGTAATCATGGCCCATCTTGGACCCTGGTGCCGCCCATCTCTGCCGCCAGAGCTCTCTTCATGGGCCCTTTTGGGCGTATTTTGAGGGTCCCCCGATTTTGACACGCGCCCCATACTTTCGAAGACACGCCCACCTGCACGCAGCGAGATCCCGGGTCCGCGCTTGGGTCCCGCGCCTTTCCGTCGCTCGACTTGAATCTGCCAATGCCGCTCTGCCTGCCTGGAGTTGTAACGTCGTCCCCAGGGTTTCTTGTTGCAAGCAGGGGTTGTTCCGAAGTCACCAGCGTAGAAATGTGGCCCGACTTTCAATGCCCACCCTACAAAAGACAATGCACAAAGAGGACCCGCTAATCCAAGGGATCAAGGATTGCAGTACAGCCCAGCTCGACTCACCTGTGCCATCTACCATCCTTTTCCGAGGTCTGTGTTGGAGTTTTTCAGGTAAACATATATTATATGTGCCATCTGGGCGAACCAGTCCCGAAATCAGAAGCCCTGTACTAGCTTCCTTACCATTTCTCATCCTTTTACAATGCGCTCCCGAAATGGGCTGAGCTTTGGGTCAAGCCAAGGACGCAGCCAAAAGTCTGCCTGTTGGAGGCGTACAAGTCTTTGCTCTGGCCACCATTCTGGGCAAGTCCTCATTCACCAAGCTGAGGCCAAAGGTTGCCTAAGAAAGGAAGCTTCATTGCGGGAGAAATTCGTTGGAATTCGCAAACCCCCGTTTGCCAGGGTGCCCAAGAAGTCTCGCGCTCGAATGTTGAGCTGTTGCTGAGCTTTTTGTTTTTCAGGCACCGTGCAGTTGAAGTGGTCGTAGGTTCCAAGTTGGGAGGGTAACATCACTCAAACTAGGGTGATGTTCTTGCTTAGAAATGGTATTCTGGAAGGGAACCGGTTTGTAAAGATTTGGACAAATTGTCCGCAACCCGTTGCCGTGCCTTGAGGTAACTTCTGGGGAGCAAGGGCTTAGCAGAACAGTCTCCTTTGGCTTAAGCTGTCGAAGCAGTGGGTGCCTTTTCTGGACACGCGCACAGACTTGGTATCCCTTTCCATACCATAGCCAAAGGTCAGAGGCACGGACAAAACACCCGTTCTCCAAGGAATCCTTTCAATGGCTGATAGCTCTTGCAATGGCTGCCCGATATAGATAAACAAACATATATATATATAACAAAAAAAACCTAAAAGGGTTCATGACTACGGCCACTAATTACTCCCCGACGTTCGCAACCAGGGGGTCCGTTCCCCAAAGTGCGCCCTTTCATTTCCAAGTTCATGTCCAGGGTCCAGAAGGTTCACCCCAACCCCTCTCCACATTCGCCCGGATGGCGCCATCTCCGCGCCTAAGACCCACTGGCCGCTATACTGCCGCCCGTCCGCCCACCGGAAGCAGCCCTCCCCGTGCTTCTTGTCTCGCACGTAGAAGCCACGGTAGCACCGTCCATCCGGCCAGGTCCTGAGGCCCAACAGACCCCCTCCCCCCCCGTGGGCCCAAGATGCTCCGAGGTCTTCTTCGCCTTTCGTCTATATACGTCGTCCCCAACCACAACCCAGGTGTTTCACCAGAGGGTCGGTATGAACACGACAAACAGGGCCAAAAAGGACACTCATCCAAAAACGACCAAAAACAATTTTGACGCTTCCTGAGGTTTCGGCAGGGCTACGACTTGGAAAGCACGGCTGCAAGCACTGAAACTGCCTCTCTATTCCACGCAAGAAACAACTTCAAGCTCACCCCTTGCACAAACAAACGCACCAACACACAACACACAAACGCAAACACACGAACACACAAACACACACACACACAAACACGCAAACACACAAACACAGGACAACCACAAACACAAACACACAAACCCACAAACGCAGAAAGGCAGAAACACAGAAACCCAGAAACCCAGATACGCAAACACGCAAACACGCAGACACCCAGAGACGCAGAAACACAGAAACGCGAAAACACAAACACACCAACACACCAACACACACACACACACACCGACACACCAACACACACACACACACCAACACACACACACACACCAACACACCTGTAAACGCACACACACAAACATAGGCATCGCAAATAAGAGGTATTGATCTGAGCTCCATAGCTCCAAATGGCTTCGGCCACACAAGCACAGCTTGGGCTCAACTTGTTTTGGGGCTAGGTTTTGGTTTCGGGCCAACATGACTCGATGACTTATAAGGGTTGAGGTGTTGGTCTAGGGTCAACACGGTTTAGGGTTTAAGTTCGTTTTCGGGTTTAAGTTTGGGTTTGCGGCTAGCTCGCAGGGTTTGGGGTGTCGTATTGGCGCGCCTCAGGCATTAAGTTTGAGCTTTTATTAGGCTCGGCATGGTTGAGGGAGCAGGTTTTGGTTTCGGGTCAACATGGTTTGGGTTGAGCAATAAGATAAACTCAACAACTGGGATACCAAAGTGGTTGGTTCCAACGATTGCATATGCGCTGTCCAATCGACCCCTTTGGTCTCGCAAACGGCGGCCTTAAAAGCTGATGTAGCACAACCATGACGAAACCTTGACAAAATCAACGACCAGGATTCCTCCCAAACAAAACTACTCAGGGGCGGGGACAAGGGCGACGTGTCAACAAGTAGCGCCCCAGGCAGCGCTTTGACCCGCGTCCCTTGCCTGTGAAGCACGATGCAGCTGCAAGGAAGGCCTGGCTAAATCCGAAGCCATCTCCATCAAAAGATACACCGAATGACGCCGCCACGGACCGGCCTCCAGGCAACTTGAAAGAGCCCTGGTCATCTTGCACCTGGAAGAGCACCAAGATGAAGATACAGGCAGTCAGAGGAATCGTGACCAAGGACAGATTCACAAGAAGACGAGTCTCCTATGCTCCCAGGACTATGAAATCTCCGTTGAGGACAGCCCAATTCTGTAAACTATATAGACTTCAGTGACAAGGGCTGGACTGAGATGGCGAAACAACTCCATGAAACTGCTGTGGATCTCATGAACAAGCTGACAGAATCAAGATTCAGAAGAAACCATTGATATCTCCAATGTACAGGATTCGCTGATCTCCAACTTGCAAGCATTGCCTCTCTCACTACAATTAGAAGGACAAGAGCAATCCAACTTGGGCAGAATTTGCGATCAGCAACCTGAATGCGGCTTGCCGATCAGGATTCCACGTGGTGTCCAAGAACCTAAATGACATATATCTCCGACATAAGAGAGAGAGGGAGACGTATTTGGAGATCCTTCAACATGTATTGCAGTCAACAAAGACGAAGAGAACCAGAACCGATGATCGAATGGCGCAGACTCAAACTAGCGGAGCGCGGCTCAACATTCTCACCTTCAACCTCGGGAATCGAGAGTGGCCTCCGATATATCCGGGAAACAGGAAGAAGGGTGACCTGAGGGACTCCGTTGTCCTGGGCCTGATCCGAAGTAACCCTGAACACGTGCTTTGTCTTCAAGAATGTGACGGGATCTTAAACTCAACGGTCCAGGAAATCCCCAGCGCACCCACACATGCGCGCATGCATCTAGCGATGCAGTAATACAAACACACAGTGCAAAACTCAGCATCGAAATTGGCCTCAGCAGCGGCGCAGCAGAAGCAGCAGCCGCACAAAAGATACATGACCATCGTCATCACCACCACCAGCATCATCATCCTCCTTCCCCTCCTCCCCCTCATCATCATCATCGTCATCAGCATCAGCATGGTCGGCTTCGGGCTTCAGATTTGGCTTAAATACGGTATCTGGTTTAGGGGGTAGGGTTTGGGGTGTCGTATGGCTTAAATTCGGCTCAACATGGTTTAGGGCGCAGGTTATGGTTTGCGGTCAACACGATTTAGCGTCTAGGTCGGGGTTTAAGGACACTCAAACACACAGACACAGAAACCACACCCAACCCACGCACACGACACAAACATACACACAGCACAAGCACAAGCACAAGCACACACGGACACACAAACACACAGACACAAAGACACAGAGACACGCAGATACACAAACACCCAACACACACAGAGACACACAGAAACACACACACACAAACACACCCACAAACAAACAAACACAGACACAGACACAGACACAGATACAGACACAGACACAGACACAGACACAGACACAGCACACACACACACATCCACACCCACACCCACACCCACACCCACACCCACACCCACACCCACACCCACACCCATACCCGCACCCACGCGCGCAAACGCAAACGCACACGCACACGCACCCACGCACCCACGCACGCACGCACGCACCCCCCCACACACACACACACACACACACACACACACACACACACACACACACACACACACACACACACACACACACACACACACACACACACACACACACACACACACACACACACACACACACACACACACACACACACACGCGCACAAATACACACACGCACAAACGAAAACACCAACCCCCGCCCCCGGCAAAGGGGAATGTAGGCACCCCTGCATCAGCTTGTCCCTTGTGAAGCTGAACAATGCCCCAAGCTGTGGCTACAGGAGGGATTCCCTCTGGGGGGATATTGCCCGAAAATCTTGGGATGGATTCCGGATGAATTCCCTTTCTGAAGAGTAGCTTGAAGGTCTAGGTAGAAAGCTAGCTTTTTGCACAGGGCAAAACGGTTCCCAGAGATTCTCGTTGCCCCGCCCTTTGAGTCTTGCCTCATTCTCGCCGATGTTTCAGTCACAAAATTTCCGATGGTTGGCGTTGGTTTCTACATGGTGACGTCCAGTGCTTGGACCCAGGGCTCGCCGGACTAAAACATACCATGTTTTGTTGATTGGACTGCTTGGGTGAAAGACGACTGGGAACGCCCCTCTTGCCGCAGATTCACTCACAAAGAGCATGTCCTTGTATACTCGGTTGCTTTCTGCTCCCCTGCTAAAAGTCTGCTTTTGGTGGTTTAATGGAAAACCCATTGGTTTGCAAAAAGTTTAAAGTCCTAACATCCCTTAGCAAAATGCACCAAAGTATAGACTCACCCTCTGCACTTGTTCGAACTTCAACGGATTCCAGCCACCAACAAGTCAAAGGGCAAAGAACACCTTCAGTCTAATTAGTTGGCACCCGCAGACCCGAGTCAATTTTTTTTCAGACCAGTACAATCTAAAGGGGTCCCGTACATTTAGGACACCTCCACGAAGGAAACAGGTGCTTGCCACACTCAAAGATCTCCCGTAAGTTTAGGACACCACCCAGAATGAAAATAATGCTTGCACCGCTCAAAGATCAACCAAGCGTCATGTGGCCAAGGCCGTTCAAGCTATTCTGGTTCCACTGGCCGCTATACTGGCGCCCGTCCGGCCACCTGCTCACTCTCCGGGTTTCGAAGGCAAGGGAACGTTCATCAGCATCGACCAACAGGTGTCCTTGTCTCGCAGGTGATTTCCTATTCCTCGAACCTCCCCCCAACGGCTAGAAAATGGGCCTGTTGAGTGTATCCTGGTGCTTAATTTTGAGCGAAAATTACAGGAAGCAACGCGTAGCGCACACTCAATTTGTCCCAAATGTGTGAACATCACAAAAGATCCATTTGAGGCTGTCCATGATCAACAAGGAGGAACCCAACAAATCAGTTTGGACATCTGAGCGAACCACAAGAGAAACCACACGCACTCGCTGTATGATTGTTGCATGAGGTCAATTAAGCAGGCCTCAAGCAAACAAACGACGCTAGCAACCCTGCAATACTCTGGCGTTCCCACATTGGCAAAAACGGCAGTGTTTTGCACTGATCATCACCTAGACAGGCTCGCGTCATGACAAGTGAAAAGTAAGCAACAACAAATTGCTGGTTGTCCTCTCCCGGGGGTAGGCATGAAAGACATCCCACAACTCGCAAACTACCCACTAAAGTAGGATATCGCCAAAGCATGATGGGGCGACGTTGATATGTATGGGTAGTTTGCAAAGTTTGCAACCCCTTTCATGTCTCCTTCATATCCCTTGGCCCTCCCCCTCCACCCCCGCGCCTGTAATCGCCGCCGCCATGAATCGAGTTGTTTAGAAACTCGCCCGTGTAGCAGGCGCCATCAGGCCAGGAGAAGGTCCCTCTGCCCTCCTTCTTGTTGGCGACGTAAGACCCCTCGAATCCTGATTGCCGCATGATGGCTTTCACTACCCCCAAGCCACTACTAAACTCAAGAAAGCTTAAAACAGGGTACAATCCACATTTCCCAGGACATCACCGTCTGGACACGCTTCCGCGGCTTTTCTTGCCGGTACTCTTTCAGGATTTCGAGCAGGGATTCGTCGAAGAAGCTTGACGACTTCAGCTTACTTTCCGAGGACATACAACGAAAACGTTTGGAATGCTTGGCATGGTCTTCCCAAAAATGGGTGCGGTCCAGAAACTGGCCCTCACTCTTCTAGCAATTATCAAAGTCAACCCCCCGAGTAATGGGAAACAAGCTCAATTTCTGACTTTGATACCCCCCCACCCAAAGAGGTCAACAGAATGATCCCAGGGAAACTCAGGGAGTACTCTTAGCCTTGCCGAAGGACCTAGCTCATGTGTACGACCCTCTTCGAATCCAATGTTAATATTCTCAAATGCCCAGAAGATACCAAAAAAGGCATGGACATCTTGACGTTTTTGGTTGGTGTACTTCCAATCAATGGGAACCCCAAGCCCCCAAAAAAGGGATGAAGAAACCAAACGAGTCTCTCAACATGCTGGACCCTTTCGGGTAGTATTTACCGGGGGAAACCAAAGGACACCTAACAATCTGAGGGTGGCGCCTACCCACGTCTGGCTCCAAGTCTCGAGACCCATCCGGCCACGTCTCAATGCCGAAGCCCTGCTGCTGGTCATTCAGCCACTGGCCTTCGTAGTAGCTGCCATCCTGCGGGAGTTTGGCGGCGTTTGGGGGGAGGGGCCTGATTTTACGGCCAGCCCCTGCAGGGTGGGGGGGGGGGACTAATTTTAAGGAACATCAACGGGGAGTTTGGGGGGCGACTAATTTTAGGAGCACAAAGTCAGCAGCAAATATGTCAAAAAAGGAGGCTCGAAGTCTGAGGTGCATTTTGATGCGACGAGAGGCCAATGTTCTCAGTGGGTGTAAATTCCGCTTCATCGCGCAGAAGGCTTCCCGTACTCAAAGCAGTGCGCAAAGCCAAACTTTCGGTTCACGTTGTACTGGCGAAACCCGCGTGCTTTGGCGGTGTTCTGATGTTGGCCCATGTTGGCCCTCCGCTTGGTTTGAGCAAAGTTGCAGTTTCACCCATTTTGCAGGCCGCGGTGGTTCTGGTTTTTCCCTTGCAGCAATAACCGTGGGGCCTTATAATGTCTAATTGTGGGTTTGGAGCATGTGGGGGCCCGGGTTCCAGCCAGTTCCGGGCAGTTTGGGAGTCTCGGGGGTGACCCATGTGCGTGCTGATAACGCTGGACGGAAACTATCTGGCCGCCATGCATGACGGGCTGCTTTGTAACGAGCGCTCATTCTAGGGGTTGATTCCCCATTCTTTCCAACCATCGTTCTTTTCAACAACCAGCCGTTTACATATGTTTCTGCAGGTTTGCAAGAAAGAAGGATTCCTGGAAAGAATGGGGAAGGTACTCTTAGACTCATGCACCTTTTGCAGGGGCCGTCCTTTTGGCAGCCCTGGATCTCGACATGCAACTAAGCCAATTTCCCAACGACCCTATATAATGCAAACCACCTGAGGAACCGCCTACCTGGACCACAATCGAAAAAGTAACTTTACCCAATGAAATGATATTACCATTTGCATAAGGGCAGCTCCAGGTAGACAATTATCTGATCATCTGCTAGGCCTGCCCCTCAGTCACCGAGTCCTTCTGTGTGAAGCGACCGAAGCCAGACGCTTGGTTCTCTGCCCACTGCCTAGGCCACTTTCAGCATATGGGTGTGGCTCAAAATCAAACAAGAGTGGCTACGCAGGTTTGTTCCATGTTTCCACTTACCAGTCTCAGTGTTCCATTTTGGGTACCGGTTTTTTGAGCCACTGCCATATGAACCCATCTAACTCTTCCAACAGAATAAGCGACCTGCTGCGAGAAAGGGCTCGGAGCAGAACAGCGGAGCCAACTTCGGAGCTGCGGTGCTGGACTAGGCAGGTTGGACAAAGTGTACATCCTCCGAAGGGCTATGAGAGGAAATTGCTGAACATGCTTATACTGATGAATCTGATGGGTTTACTATTTTGCACCCACATGAGAAAAACACAAGTGTTCACTCCACACAGCCCAACAAACATCACAACATGGCGGATTTACAGAGATCTCTTTCAAATTCAGGGGCGCTGAATCTGCGGAACCATCCATCTGGGCAAAGCACTAGACCACAGGTTTGCGGCACCTTGATCCTGGGAGAGGTCGCCATGCCCGTCTTGTCAGGCTGCTATGGCCAGAAGCTAGACCGCTAAATCCCCACTGGTCACCCTAAACATTTCCCATGCCCTTGGGGGAGGCTTAAGTCATTTCGAACGGCTCTGAGAATCTGGGCGAGTGGCCCCTCGTAGATGTTGCCACCGTTCTCCAGTCGCCCCAGGCCGGATGCTTTGTCCTCCTCGAAGTGACCCTCGTAGCGGCTGCCGTCCTTGGCTTGCAACTAGTGGGGACCGGGGCCCTCCCCTCCCTCCGTTCCAGCCCCCAACCAGCACATGGAATCTGCTTTGGATCATTCCCACGGCGCAAAACGGGCGAATCCTGGATGAACGTGACATCTAATGCTGGGCCCTGTCCAAGAACTTTGCTGAACATGGTCGATTTGCAGGTGGCTTCTTTGCAGTTCTGTTTGTTCAACTGGAATCCGAATGCTCCTCGACACGCGAATGATCAAAACTGCCGAAGAGGAAGTGAAGAGATCCTTTTGCCCCCCCTTGGGAGAAGTAAAAATTCAGGCTAGGCTTTGATGCTGCGGAAAGCCACGCCCTTTCCGACCCTCCAAAATCAATGACACCAGGATAAATTCTGGATTGAGTTTTCCACGACAATGAGGATTCCAAGTTCGCCTCGGCCCCAAAAGGGCCCCTCTCAGATCTTTCCCCCGCCCCCCCCCCCCCCACCCCCCCCACCCATGTCGGCTGGCCCAAAATCCTGCCAACCAGCAACCCGCCTGCTGGCCAGGCCTGTCAGCCCAGCCTCAGGCCCAAGCTTGTCTGAAACAGGCCTGGCCCCAAGCACGGCCCCAAGTCATCCAGCAAGCCCAGCCCAGCCTGCCCAGCCCAGGCCCCGGCGCATCTCAGGGCATGCCAGCCACTAGGCCGCCCAGCTCCCAGCCCCAGCGTGCCAAGGTCAGGTTTGTCTAACGTGTCTGAGACTGGCCTCAGGCCAACGACCAGTCTCACGTGTCTGAGATGCCAGCTACTAAGCCTGTCTGACGCGCCCCAGCCCCTCAGTCCGGCTGCCCAAGCAGCTCAGCCCTGGAGGCCTTGACCTCCTGCTCGCGTCTGGCCCCAAGTCATCCAGCAGGCCCAGCGCAGTCTGAGACTGGTCTCAAAGTATGCCAGCCTGAGACTAGCCTCAGGCCCAGTCCCTCAGCCCGCCTGCTGGCGTGTCTTACGTGTCTGCGACTGGCCTCAAGGCCCAAATGCGTATGAAACAGGCCTTGCCCATCCAGCAACCCGCCCAAGCACAGCTCAGCCCAGCCCGCCCAGCCCAAGTTCCAGGCGCAACCAGCAGCGTAGTCCGAGACTAGCTTCAGGCCCCGGCTAGGCCGGCCCCCAGCTCCCAGCGCCCCAGCGTGCCAAGGTCAGGTTTGTCTAAGCCAACGACCAGTCTCACGTGTCTCAAGCTACGCCAGCTACTAAGCCTGTCTGACGTGCCCCAGCCCCCCAGTCCGGCTGCCAAGCAGCTCAGCCCAGGCTGACCAGGCCTTGACCTTCCTGCTCGTGTCTGGCCCCAAGTCATCCCGCAGGCCCAGCCGCTTCGGCGCAGTCTGAGACTGGTCTCAAGGAATGCCAGCCTGAGACTAGCCTCAGGCCCAGTCCCTCAGCCCGCCTGCTGGCGTGTCTTACGTGTCTGCGACTGGCCTCAGGCCCAGCCCAGCCAGCAACTCGCTACCCCTCAGGCCCAAGTGTGTATGAGACAGGCCTTGCCCATCCAGCGACCCGCCCAAGCACAGCTCAGCCCAGCCCGCCCAGCCGAAGTTCCAGGCGCAACCAACAGCGTAGTCCGGCTGCCCAGCAGCCAGCAACCCACCCATGGCTTCGCAGCCTCGTGGCTGAGACTAGCTTCAGGCCCAGCCCAACCAGCAACCCGCCTAAGCAAACCCCACCCAAGCCCACCCTGTTTGAGACTCGCAGGCCTCAGCCTATCTAGCGCCGAGACTGAGATAGTCTTGGTTTTGGATTTCAAGCCTTCCGAGCAGGACGGCTTCCGAACATCGAACTAGCACGGGCGAGCTGGTGCGGTCGCAAGCTTTCAGTAGGATTCGGACCTTCCCAACACTGGATTTCGGTGTTCCTGACCCTTCCCTCAGACTAGGCTGGGCCGAGGCGGGCAACGCGAAGCGTTTACAATAAACTTGCAAGTCTGCTGGCAAAGCTAGCTGTGAGCACCACACCTTGAAGAAAGGAGAGCATGCCCAAGCAGTCGGCCTGTCGTTGCTTTTCCACCACCCCAGTTCCTACCTCTTTCATTACCCTGCCCCCCCCCCCCCTGGTCAGCACAGCTGCTGGTCTCTCCATGATGCCAAAGCCGTGCTTCTTTCCATCCCTTCAGGGCTTGGCCGTCTGGACAGTGTCTAAGTCCCAGCACGTACTGTGGATGGACAAAATCCTGCACCACCCAAGAAACCCTGGAATGATGATTTCCCTACAAATATCAACAAACACTGGTTTCCCATGGTTGCAAAGTGGTGCAGAAGTTCGTCCATCCACGGTAGGTCCTAGGTACAATTTCCAACAAACAAGATCGTCAAACTTCAAGCCACCCCCCCCCCCCCCGCCTCCGCTGAAAATGATGAACCGTCTTTTCTTTCTCGATGCTCATGCGGGTTGCGTGCAAAAGGGCTCCATGGTCCCACTTTTGCCGTACACAAAAGGAACTTGGAACTGTACGTCCCACAAAACAGAACGGGACCTACAAATGAAGATCCTAGCCTTACAGAGACAGAGGGACCCCCTGATGTAGGTCCCCCTCTGAGGACAGTGGAGATACAAAAACGATATAGAACTACAACTCAAAATCCTAGCTGGAACTATGTGGAGATCCTAATCAGTTTTACTCACTTTGGGTCATGGAGCAAATGATGGAGCATGGACCTGCACAAAAGGGCCAACCTGCGGTTGGACCCTCAGGGGTCTCCCGTCGGACTCGCTCCCCGCCCACTTTCATTTCCGCCTCCAGCAGCCGGTGAATTTGGCTCCATCCTCAAGGATCACCAACTTGGCGTCCTGTGCTGGGTGGCAACCCGGACACCCGTTGCAAGCTGTCTTGTTTGGCGGAAATTGATATGCCAACCACAGCCACGCCACATGTCCCAAATTGCACAAGATGGGCGAAGCAGTCCTCATGCGAGGGTCTCTCAAAAACCCTGCGTTCAAACAGAATGCCAATCCCCAACCACACCACTTTCCATTGCTTGTTGATTTTCGACTTCCCCCAGCAGGTGTGGCGGGTGGCGTGTTTGGGGTCCTCCAAAGCGAGTGAGGTGAGCTGCCTGGAAGTAGTGCTCCCCCATCCACCCCCACACATACACGTCAAGCCCATGTCTCGTTGATGTAAGGTGGTAAGGGGTTGGCTTGAAAGGAAAGGCCGGCCAAAACAACCTAGGAAAAGGTTGGAAAACTCCCCCTGCCAGCGTTCCTTGTGGCGTACTGTTTTCATGTGTTTCTCTCGCAAGCCGTCTGACTCAGGTGCCTGCCACCCAAGTGAACACCGAACCAAGTGGAAGAAATGACAAATGGTTGTGGTTTAAACAATCACGAATTCAGTCATAGCAAGAAAAACCGTTGGAGCCTAGGCACTTTTCGCAACCATGAGTCACGAGGGTCATGACGGACCAAAGAGCCATGAACTTGCCATCTTTTGAAGGGCCTGTCTTGGTCCTCCGATTTTCGACAGATTCCTCTCTCATCTGCCAATTGAACCCCTCACCAAACAAAGTGTTTTTTGGTAGAATGCAAACAGGGGTTTCTATGAAAGTAAACCTTCACGAGGTAACGTCGCCAACCACCAAAACACGACGTCGCTTGCTTTTGCTCAGATCATCACGCTATGGCTTTGAATCTGGATCTAAAGCTTCTCCCTGTAAAGCTTCACACCGGAAAGTGGTTTGGCAGGCAAGTTTGCTTGGGTTAAACCGGCGGTTCTTCAATCAAGGTGTAGTCCAAAGGGCTGAGAGCTCATTTTCTTGAACCCAAAGTTGAGGGTCCAGCATTCGTCGATGTGCAGTGGTCGCCAACTCAGCTGTGTCCCGGTGTGTTGGACGCATTTGGATCCGAATCCTCCAATTGAAGGCATACCCTCCTGCAAACTAGCATGGAACCACCAAAAACATGTGTAGAGGAATCTCCTTGTGGAGGTTTTCCTTTGTGGGTTCAGGTTCCAGGTTCATTTTTAGGGGGTCTCTGCCAAGGAGTCCTTTGGAGCATTCAATCTGTTCTGGGAGATAAACAGGGCTCCGGAAGAAAGATGCATCCAAGAAAAATATGTTCGACAACATGCTCGAAAAATCAGCCGGTATTCAAAGCTTCCGCTGGACGAAAGGTATCCCGGATGGAACGCCGACCGGGGCCCATTCCGCGCCTCATGCAACGAGTCCGCCGCCAAAGCGCTGCGCGGCACCGCCGCCACGCACTTCAGAGTGGGCTCCCCAGCACCTCAGCTGCCGGGTTTGTGCAGTATGTTTGCTTTCGTCCTGCCTGTGTTGCATATATATATATATATAATGTATATATATATATATGTATTTGCAACCTTGGTTCTTTGCATTGCCCCCGCTAAAAACCGAACAGGTGTCAAACATGCCGAGGAACCCATTGGGCATATGGCACTACATCCGTTGTGGCTTGCGCCGCACATGCCTTCGACTCCGGCCAGCTCGGAGGGCTTGAGGCTACACCAACTTAACACGACAACGGCCTTTCTCCGGCGCAAGTCGTTTAGGTCCATCCTAGCATACCTGCATTGAGTGGTACAAGAGCAATGTTTGTCCAACCTACAGCCAGCAGGAACACAGAACACAGAACAAAGAACAAACCCAGAACCATGTCACCGACAGCTCCCAGTTTCGCGGAATAAGCCTCCAAGAGAGGAGCCGGCCCCACACCCCCTGAAACCATCCACTAATCGAAGGTTTGATTCCTCCAAGAGAGGAGCCGGGCCCCACACCCCCTGAAACCAACCACTAATCGAAGGTTTGATTCCTCCAAGAGAGGAGCCGGGCCCCACACCCCCTGAAACCATCCACTAATGAAAGGTTTGATTCCCCATTCTCTTCACCCAGCGTTCTCTTTGGAAACCACCCATTCTCCAGGCTCTTGGCCCATTCTTTGAAGATAATGATGCCTGAAGAGAATGGGGAGGGTATTGCTAGAACTAAGGCGAGCTCAGCCGGCGCAAAGCAAAAAAACACCACAGCGCTGGGCATAGGTCGTCTGCCAAAGGGCCATCCTCCACGGTGGCTTCGTCACCACAGGCGCAACACGCGCGGTTGCCCATGGCGGTCAGGGCATTTGGCTGTGGTCAAAAAATAGGGCACCCTGGTAAATGGAAACATGGACGAACACCTGCGGTTTTTCGTGTAGTTTGATCACATTTGGGCGTCGACCTGGTGGCTCTGGGGAACGTGGCCCTGATCTTCCGAAACCTGTTTACTGGAGCATGAATGTAGTGCCCTCCACAAATCCCACTCAAAGACCGGAAGTTGAACAGGTGTTCCAAAATGGTCCGAAGGAAAATCCAGGGAACCCTGCAGCCCAAAGCAACGCCGCCCAATGACATCCTTGCATGGAGCTGAAAATTTCTGACTGCGTTGGACAGTCTTGTATCACGCTTCGCGCGGCCAGCCGATTGGTTGAGGATATCCACTGACTAAACGCGTCCTTTGGGGTTTCCTCGTTGCCGTGCCATGTCTGGGCCAGATTGCTATCTGATATGGCGACATCTCTCATAAGGTCAGGGCCAGGAGAAGTGTCACGTCCATCTTGGACCGGTGTGAGTGCCAACCTCTACCTTGGATCCTTGCACTGTTGGGGCCCAGTAGTTTTCCAAAGTCGTCTCAAAATGACAACCCAGGGCCAAAACTGCCCGACAGGCAGCCGACTTCTTCAGGGACCCTACACCCCTACACACCTCGCCCAAAGACCGTGACGGCCAAGCGCTTCCCAAGCCTTGCTTGGATCAAGCAGTTGGGGAGCTCTTTGCGGTGGGTGGCCTCCCTTCCAGGAAGCTATTGCATCCTGACTCACCCCTCTTAGACCTTGAAAGCGACCCATGGTGTAAACAGCGGGCACCCCCAAGGCCCTTTTTGCAGCTCCGGGATGGGGAGCGCATCACTATGGCACGAGTAGGAGCTCTCCTGGCAGGGCGAGGATGAGAGGGCCATGTGCCAAAAAAGAGCCAACACCTCAGAGAGTGGATTTTGCATTGGACCTCAAAGTGAAGGACACCCCTCCCATTTTTGCAAACCCTCCATCTCTCTTAGCCTTGAAGACTCTTGCGGCTGGTCGCTGGCACATCCATGCCAAGCCTCCCAAATTCGCGGGGCTCCCGCAAAGAAGATTCAATAAATGGATGGATATTAAGGTTCCATGTACCTTGGCCGCGCCTCACTGTGCCATCGTTGGTGCTCCTGCGCATGTGATTGCATGCAGCAATCTGGCTGAGGAGGAACACGTGCAACATTTTGGACCCAGGAGATTTGACAACATTCAGAACAATATTACGCGTATCAACCAGTTTTTGTGCCATGTATATATATATATATATACATATATATATATATATATATATATATATATGGGGGAGGCTATGGCCATATACACCTCAAACAATGCCTTATGGCTGTCTGTTGGTAGCAAAGGAGCCCACCCGAAACCATGTAAGAATCATGGAAATGGGCGGCCGATTTATGATTGGGACTGTCCCAAGCAAACCTTCATCTCTCGCTAACTCTTTCTCTGTCTCTCTGTCTCTGTGTCTCTGTGTCTCTGTGTCTCTGTGTCTCTGTGTCTCTGTGTCTCTGTGTCTCTGTGTCTCTGTGTCTCTGTGTCTCTGTGTCTCTGTGTCTCTGTGTCTCTGTGTCTCTGTGTCTCTGTGTCTCTCTCTCTCTCTCTCTCTGCAGCTGCATCCTCAAGGTCCCACTTCATGCACCCGAACTGGTTTCATTTGGTCGCTCACATCCTATCCTCGGACACCAGCTGCAGCAGCACGTCAACCTCAGTTCCATCAGCCCCTGGCGTTTTGCTCTTTTGGGGCATGCTGGCAACTTGACTGGCTATTGGACCGGCCCCTGACCTACCTTCCAAGTGGTTCATAAACAGGCTACACGCTTGTGTCCAGAAACGAGGCGCGCCCCCACCAAGCCAGCTGGCGGATTGCCCCTGTACTTTCCCCCAAACCCTCAAAGTCGATTCAAACACCCACAAAGAACATGCTTCTTCAAAACAGAGATCCCGACAAAGTAGAATTTCCCTTTTGGTTTCCTTTTCATACAAATCAGACGGGGTCCACCATTTTGAGAAACATCCATGTCACATGCACAGGGTTGCTGAGCTCTCGGCCACAGGGACTTCCGGCCCTGGGGTGCGTATGCATCGGACAACTAAGCCATGCCCTGCCAGTTTCCATAGCTTGTGACCTCAGGTTTTGGGAAACCAAGTCTATCCATTTGTTTTGGGAACAAATTGTCTATTTGTTCATAAGCACCACAAAGCAGTGATGTTCGAAGCATGTGTTGGCAAGGTGGCCCAGGTGTCACGCGTGAGGTACCGACGCTTCAGAACTCGAGAGCTGCTTGGAAGGAGCCTGTGATCTGCCGGTCCCTGAGTCTTGGGCGGCCGGGGGCAGCTTCACTGACCTCCTACGGATCGCTGAAAGGCAGCAAGGCTTCTACCAAGCCTTCGCTGCAGGGAAGCCAAAAGCGCGACGGCAAACGAAATGCCGGGATGGATGGCGCAACGCAGAAGCTACGAGGTGAGGGTGGGGCCCCCAATTTCAATCTCCAGGTCCCACAAATGGAAGCTTGAACTATCTATGCAAATCTCACCCCCAACTCCATTTTCAAAGGGGAGGAGCAGAGTTTAAGGACAACTTTTCCAGACCAATGCACCAAACCCGGCAGTGACCCTCGCATTCGCCCCTCCTGCCGGCGCTCCGATATGTTACCTTGGCAAAATCACCAGAACTTGTGCAGCAACTTCACCATGGATGGCCATGGTTGGTTGCACACATTCGCACCGGTTCTCGTGCTGGGCTCCAACCAAAAGGGGGCATATGATTCAAATGCGCCCTTGTTCGTTGGTCATGTTTAGACGGGAGCCAACTGAAACAAGTTGGATCAGAAAGAGCGCTTCTGAAGAGCTGGGCCAGCTGGCCGGCCGCCACTTTCCAAAAGGACAGCTGATGACCAGCAGTCTTTGCACTTCTCCGTTGGTTCTTTCCCAGGGAGGCCATGTTCCTTCAGACAGCAACCAGCCGTTACATTTGCCTGCCAGCCAGCCATTTGCTTGCTACACATCGCCGGACAAACAATGCTCTACAGGAGCAAGTCGCAGGATCCGTTGCACTTGCCACAGACCACCCTGGACTTCGTCAAAGTTGAATAACCTCCTGCCCAAATTGGGCGTTGCAATGCTGAGCGCTCGGCACATGGCATTGACGACGTCATAGATGCCCTCGTGGAAGAAGCGCTGCCTGGCGGCATCAGTCAGTTCCCACTTGCGACATGTGCAACGGGTATGCCTTAGCCCGCTTGTCCAAAGAACCCAGGATCAGGCCTGATCCTGGGCTGCCGTGGCTCGCAATAATAAAACAAACATAAGTGCGGGAGAACTCGGGACACCCAAAGGGAAACCCAAAGGGAAACCCCTAAGGTCATGGATGTAACTCTCTGCTTCCAGCCTCTCGAACACCAGTGCATAGGCCGCTAAGAAGAAGCTGAGCGGGACTGTGTGAGAGTCCCCACACTAGAAAGCTTGACAAAAGATCTAGGGGTACCTTCCCCAGTTCCAGGGATCCTTCTTTCTACAAAACCTCCGGAAACCCAGGGAAAACGGATCCGGTTTTTGGAAAGAACGATGATTGAAAAGAATGGGGAATCAACCAGTAGAAAAGTATTCTGAAGCCGCTGTCTCACATACTGATCCCAGTGCCGTCCCAGTCAAGCTCCTCATCCGGGTCATGGCGACCTGAAACGAAAACCAGATGGTTTAAAACTTAAAACCATCCCGGCCACCTCAGATTAAAAGGCATTTCTCGGTTGCCCAAAGGACCCAGAAATTGAGGTTTACCTTTTGGAACCATGTCTAAATATGGAACAACTATGGGAAACCCAAAAGGTCCAAAGGTCAATTTGCTTTGAAGCACTGCGACTTTGACTGGGGGAACCCAACCCACATCGTTTCAGACACAAAACCCCCAGCTGTGCGTCTGATCAAATCCGAGGCCAGGCCTCTCTTCCTCCAAAGCTTCGATCCGCTTCCCGGCCTGCGACGAACTTCAGAACTGCTGCCCTGCGCCACACCCAAAGTCCCAGGCAACCCATTGGCCCCTTTGGAGGCTTTGCCATTCTGTGCCCTGGCTTTGGGGAGTCTACTTGAATACAAATTTCTGGTTTGGCCTTATGTTAGGCCTGCTCCATAAGCTATGTGATTTCTGAAGGCTGCAGGAAAGCTAAGCCTTGAAGCCCCTGCCGGAATTGTGGGCGTATGGAAACGCTCCTTCGCATGCTCTAATCCAATCCGGCTGTACAATTGACATCCCTCAAAAAGCCTCACACCTTTTGAAGGACCCAGCGCCGGGATTCGGTTTGTTGATTCCCCAGGTAGATGCAAGCCTTTTGGAAGAATCCATCAGCTGTGGGTTGAAGTCCCCCCCCCCCCCCCCGGTGTTTTGGGGGGGGGGGGGCGGGGCCAGCGGCAACTCTCTGAGGCCACCAGTGGGAATCCATCGGCCTGAGCCAGCTCAGCCCGCAGCTCCTTGTTCTGCTCCTGTCACCCCAAAGGCCCCGAGGGGTTTGGCCCGGTGGCCCGGGAGGCCACTGCGTGAGATGCAATGCCTGGAGGCTTTTCTTGCGCTGGGTCTCTCTGGCCGTTTGTCTTTTTCTGGGTGGGCCACGCTCTCTTTGTGCTTAAAACACCAAGCTCCAGTGCCACGGGGGCGCCCAAGGCTGCGCCCAACCCTGAGGCACAGCCGGGCGGCGTGTCTTGCATCCCGAGGCCTGCAGGATGCGGGTTTTCTCATCTGGCCTGACCAGGCCATGCCAAAATCTAAGGGTTTTTGTATTACACCCTGGGAATACACCCACTGGGTATTGACCCCATTTAGGCACATTTCCGATTAAACCCGTGTTATTTTGAACCATTCTGGGTCATTTCCCAAGGGGGTAATCCCAGGGTGTAATGCAAAAACCCTCAGACAAAACCCACCCTGCAGTCTGCCCATCTGTCCTCGGGCTGAACTCCAGCTGGCTACAAAGGCATACGTGTCACTAGAGTAGGTATTGCGGACAAATGGGCATCGATGACATTCTGG